GTTCGTGATTCTCAGTTAGGCCACTGGAGGTGCTGTTAGGCCTATATGGGTCACCGCACAAGCTGTTGCACTAGATAATCCAAAACCGTTCAATATGTAGAACTTGTCAGTATTTCATCCTTTTACAAAATATCACGTTTTAATCAGATACTTGAATAGCCTTTAATAATATTAAGGCCTTGTTTTGGTTTCGTATTTCAGAAATAATTTTTTGAAATCTTCTCTGAAAATACATTTTTGGGCAGTCATCAAACAAACACGATTTCTCAAAAAATTCTAAATGCTGTGTGGTTGTCTCTTTTTCCAGGATCACTTTTCAAAAACAAATTCTCAGAAAATCCGTTTGGTTTGGTTTTTCAGAAACACAAAATACAGACAACCCAATTATGTAAACATGTTCTTTTTTTTTTTTTTTTTTGTTTTTTTTTTTTTTGAGCACATACATATTATGCATTATGCTGAAGTTTTTACACGATCAAGCGAAGACAACACAGTTAGCAGTTCTTGGTTTTGGTTTGTTCATCCAACATGTTGGCAAGACAAGACACTCGCACCATATTCAGTGACGCATGAGTAGAATTATCTCACACAATGAGCAGAATAGAGAGGTTAGTGATAGTAGACGCTCTCCGCTCGTATAGAGTACTGAATTTTCGATGTGACATGTCATTATGGAATGTACTGAAATTTGAGTGCAAAAATCAGGTGTAACGAAAGAATTTGCCATGTCACACGCATTATTAGAGTTAGTGAAAAATCGGTGGGGTCTTGAATCTTCCTTTTCTATGGTTAGACGTGCATGTGATCAATGTATATTGGATCCAAGAGCTCCTTGAACCTGGGAGTTAAAAACGTCAGAAGACTGCATGTGGTTCTTGCTCTGCACATGTCGAATTCTTATTCATTCTACTACTCCTATCAATGCTCCTTTCAATAAACCACCGAACTCTATAATGGTGATGAGGATTAAAACCCAGTTACCAGACTAGAAATGGAACACAGTACCTTACCGACCTGAAAACAATACCAAATTTCTGAAAGAGAACATTTTAAAAAACAGAATCTAAAGATTAACATAATCTATTAAAGCACTCAATATTTGTTCAGGACAATCATGGAGAATACCTAAACAGAGAATCTACTTGAAAGCACCCAATTAAGAGCGCCTTCTCATGTATAAAGACATGTAAAATTGGATCTATTACTACTAACTACTACTACTACGTACACAACTAAACACCCTGCTTTCAACATGTTTCATTCAAAAAGTAAACACTAAACCAAGCGGATGCACGATTCAACACCCAATCCAATCAGCAGCATA